CTTATAAGCTTTGCAAAAAAAAAAAAAAATAATAATAATAGCCGAAATTTTTGAACCCGAGCCACCCGGATAGATAATTAAAATTGTTGCGTATTTACAAATATTTTACAAACCGTAAAAACCCCATTCAAAATCGATGAAACTCACTTTTGAGGCTTTTCCATGTCCTGGTCTTTTTTTTTAGTTTTCATGACTTTCTCTCTGACTATTTTTTAATTCTGACTTTTTCCGATTTTCCAGACCTACAGTTAACTCTTCTGCTATTCATTTGTTTGAAATTGATTATTTACAGTTTCGACAAGAAGAGCTCACAGACTTCGTTTGCAAATACGTTCTTACGTTTAAATAAACGCGCAGAGTGATCAAACTATGATGCCACAGATATTTGTCGATCCAATGGTATTTCAATCGCGTGTAAAAAAATTTGTATAACATTAAATTTGCACTCGCTTACATTCCCTGTTTTGTTTTACTTTTGTTCAATAAATTCCTATTGACTTGTTATTTTATAGGCTACAATGCTAGTTCTCCAGGCTACAGACTATCTTAAAAAAAAAAAAAATTAAAAGCGAAAGAACTCTTTTAACTAAATTATCTTGTGCGCCTTTATACGGTTAGTGAAAATTGCCGCAAAAGTCGGAAAATGTAGTCAAGCGCATCCTCGATAGTTTTCAGAGACGTGGCTATGTTTCAGAACATCTTCTATGTAAATTTTTATAGTGATTTTAATACAAATATATTTACCAAAACCATAATTTTTTGCATTTCAAAGTATACAAACATTATTTTTTGCTTTTTGATTTTAAAGTAATTTAAAAAATAAAATACCTAATTATGCCAGAAACTATTGAACGCAACAGCATGAGGATATGCGCGAGAAGTGACGATATACGAGGAAAATGCATAACTGTCGAAAGGTTAAATTGACAATGCGTAAAGATATTTATGACGTAATCGCGGGGAGTGTACGCGCGTGGGAAGGAGCGATTTTAGTGACCCAGTTTGCAAGTGCAGCCGCTGCTGCCGCCGTCGCTGCAGCATCCTTGGCTGCGGATACGAACTTTTTGCCCGTGCTCGGAGCAAGCGCGCGGTAGGTGAAGGTCAAGGACGAAAAATACGTAAATCTCGGGACTGGACCGAGCGTTTCTCGAAAGGGAAGAAGGAAGGAAGGAAGGAACCGACGGAAAGCGGAATGAACAGAGTCGCTGCCTTTCTGGGTCGAGAAAACAGCAGTTGGATCGTATCGAAGGGCGATTACCGCCGGATGGCGCGCAAAGCATATCACTTCTCCGCGAGAAAAGTACATCGGAAAATGACGAAATAATACCCCTGTGGAATTTATTTCACGCCGCATGTTTCAATGCGAAAGACATTACGCGAAGGATGTGAAGCACATGTAACCTGCACGATCAATCTAATGCTGAAGTCTGAATGTGTGTGAAGTATGGAGTTGTGTTGTGGATTCTCTTTTATTCAGTGCAAAATTTTCTATTTTTATAACAGAAATATTTTAAACATATTTTGTAAGAAATACTTTATACATATATTTTTAAAATGTTTCTCAAGTTGAGTATATATAGTAGCGTTATATTGTTTTATTTGTTTTTAATGAACTTATTTTTTTGTACAAAAGTTTTCATCTCGTTTCTTAATTGCTTCTCTATTTTTTGCTTATACATACAATAAAGAGTTGTTTTCTTAGTAAAGACAAAGATAAATGTTGAAATATTTTTTATACATTCGCTGTGAAAATACACTATATGTAAATTTTTTAAACTTTGGGTATTAAAACAAATTATAAATAGAGTCCAAGGAAAATCTGACTCGAGATTGATCGTCCAAGGATTCGTGGCAAAAAACACGAACATGGCGGTTCACGTGCACATGCATGCACATGGCGTATAAAAGCCATCCAATTAGCGATACGGTGGAATTATGGCGTTAACGTTGCAGCGGGGAAGATAAGAGCTTCGGCCGTGGTGCAATTTTCGCATCACCGGCGTGTTTTTCTAGCTTTCCAGATTGGTCGAGGTTTTCACCTCGTGGTCGGGTCACCATTGGACGCAAAATATCGCGACCCGCGGGCGAAACGAGCCGCAGCTGCGTCCGCGGAGATCGTTTGGCAGCACACACAAAGGCAGCAGAAAAGAAACCGTTCTCTACCGCGGATACACGTATATATGTACCTTTGGGAAAACAGCTATTTTCGCTTCTCGCCGATAACACCCGCATGTGATATCGACTTCCGCAAACGCTTTTCAATACGGTGCTGTACGAGATGGCAAGTCGCCTATTTGATAATGTATACCGATATTATAATTTATTCGCCGACATCACTCGCTTTTTGCCGCCATTTATTATCTCTTTGCGTCGCTTTATTGATTCTTTGCCATACTGTTAAATTCGAATAAGATTCGTCTATCTAAAATTTCGTAGCACCAAAGAATTTTTGGATACAAAACCAAATTTTGTTAGAATTATTAACTCTACTTTAAATATTATTTGTAATTATCTACAAAATACTATTGTTGTTAGCTTTGTAATTTTAAAAAGAGCTAGTTGTGAATTTTTTATATAAGCTCAAGAGAGAGAGAAAATGTATCCAGATATCGTAAATCAAAATACAAAGACGATAAAAACAGTTGGCAGTGCGCCCAAAAAAGTGAATCCCGATATCGAGTATATATATGTCATGAGCACGAGAGTGCCGCTTTTTTCACGAGTTATCACTGATTTTTTTCTTTGATAGTCGGTCGCCGAAGCACAATAAACTGTCCAAACTGTCCCAGCTCTACTGTTTTTTACGACCGGCCGAAATGAGAAATTTATGCGTTTTACACCAAAACAGACAAGGTCTCTGGTGACACTTAAAAAAAAAAGCGAGATTTTCGTTTATCCGTGAAAATACAACTGCCGTGTGTGAAACGCGCGCATCGCAAACTTCGTGAAATATGCAAATATCGTGAAATAATAAATTCGCTCTTAAATACTACATGTAAAGTTGAATCAAATATCATTATTGCTCCGTGATGTTCTTGTTATACGTCATGCTTACTTCGTATCACGAGGAAATGTCATCGCGGAGATGATATAATTTGACAGCTTGAATGTCGAGTAGTTAATAGCGCAAGTAATATTGTGTTATTTTATTCCTTAACCTCAAATGAAGACAATCATAACGTATTCCTCTCTCGGAATGATACATATTGAAAAATAAATATTTATAAAATAGTTATAATATTATATATAAAAATTGTAACGTAATCGTTCATTAGATAAAATAATATTAGACTAAATAAATAAAACATTATTAAATCTTAAAAAATGGAATTTTACTAAAGTTATAATAATTATAGAAAGATTCTTCGAGAAACGAGATGGGAATATGGTGCTCCTAAAAGAAAATTGAAAATAGAGCATTCTAAGAAAGTGTATTAAATATAAGAAGTCTCGGACAAGAAACGAATTTAAAATAGTATATATCGAAAAGCGAGTTGAAAATAGAGAATCTCAAGAAAACGAGTTGAAAGTAGAGAAAATAATATATTATTGACAATACACAAAATTTATATTAAAAACTCATTAAAAAATCAAAAGCATAGTATTTACTTTAAGTATTACATAATGCGCGACGAAAAATTTTGATTATATTATTATAAAAATATGTAATGTCTTTATATTTATCTATAATATAATTATTTTTTAAATATTATTTAAATTTACTGTGAAAACAAATGGCGCATGCATTGCTGTGTTCTAGTTTCATAAATTCTTTTGGCTTGTCATTTGCATAACACGAGAGAGAGAGAGAAAATCATAATGGGGAGGCTCTACATGTTACGGGCAGTTCCTGCTGTCATTATGACAGATTTTGACAGGCATGACATTATTATATTCCTAAAATATTTTAAACTAATTTATCGCTGAATTATTTGTGCCACTGAAAAATACGACGTACCCTATGATCGCTTTGTGAAATTTACACGGAATGAGCTAGATTTACAAAATACGCAATTTCAAATCAATTGGTTTTGCGTCACGATATTTTATGATTTTATAATATGTGATAACTGACATACCTATACGCAAACATCCGAAGGAAACGGCCATGGAACGCTGTGATCTTACTAACGAGATGTGAATCTGTGACGTAACACATACCTCGCAAGGCCATTTTGAGTCGTATAATTGACTCTTGACTCCATGTTAATTGCGTGCATTTTTCTCTGCTAGCTACTGCATACTCGCAGTGAATACGGAATTATTTGCAGAGAGCGAGTCAACAAATCATCATTAACCATCACGATCGATAAACGGAATGCGGCACGTCCGATTGACAGTGGGATAAGTTATTTTCTGCGGGCTAATTAACCCATAACTCGCATTGTCAACCACGGCACTGCTCACATCCTTCTTCTTTCATTTCTACTGTTAAATGTTATTTATAAACACTTATCTTATCTTAAGACATTATTTTCGATGGCACATTATAAATATTAATAAAAATGCCTTTCTCTGTTCTAGAAAGAGTAGATATTCAAAGAAGACGGCATCAATGTCATGAATTAAGAATCAACCCGGTGTTATTAAGGCGAGGTATGACAAACCCGCCCTGGTACTATAAATATTATAATATTATTTTCAACTACTCTGTGTCTATAATAAAAAAATATTTTAAAAGAATTATAATAAATAATTTGTCTAAGAACTTAATATAAAATATCATGTTAAAAATTTTATGTTAATACGATTTAAGCTGATCAGCTAAATGAAAATTTTAACATAATATTTTATATTAAGTGGACAAATTATTTATTAAAATTGTTCCAAAATATTTTGCAGATATTATGTTATATAAAATAAATATATAAAGAATAAAAAAATATACAGAAAGTGTCCTAAAAATAGGTTTTCAATAAGGTTCCTGTATTTTAAAGTCATAAATAAGTAAATCGCCTGCGGTTTCGAACCGCAGCACGCCATGGCTCGCTCACCCGAAATCGGAATAAATCACATTATTGTCGATGAAGTTTATTTTTAGTATTGGTGGTGTCGTGCACAGGGAGAACAGGCAGGCAGAGGCAGGCAGGCAGGCAGGCAAGCAGATATGCGTCGCTGCATCTCTCGATCCCGCCGCCGCGCCGATTGTATCGCGCGACGGAGTGCGCGTTCGCGTGCATTCACAATGCAACACGCACGGTCGGCGCGGATACCGGTTGCTGGAAAATATACTGCGATCGGACGAGCGGAATGGGCGCGGAAGGCACGAAAGAGGCGAGCGCAGCGGGGTCGTGAAAACTGTCGATGCGGAACGACACTGCCAAGGCAAATAGTTGCCTCGCGCTCGCCATCGACGGCGGAAAGCTGCGCGACGAATCTCTCTCTCTCCCCATGGATATCTCTTCCCTCCTGAATTATTCCAGAACTTGTAACGGAACTCCAAATTACGTGTCACAAACAATGGGATTAATAGTCGGTCGTGAAATATAAATTAGGTACGTCGGGCGTGCGCTTGCATGTATGTACTTATAAATATTAATCGATGACTAATTTACTCCGATATTATAACCGAAGAAGGCTCGCGCAGACGATCGCATCGCCGAATGCACTCACTTTGAATTCGTGACGCTGCACACGAAGCGAGGAATAACGATCGTTTGCCAGCTGATCGATCGCACTCGTTATTGACGTATCTCGTGACACTGCATTGTACGCGTCGTTTCGTCATACGTTAGCACTGATAACGCGATCGAGAGAGAGCGCCTTTTGCAGGACCTTCTTTCAATCCTGTACGTTAAGCTACGAACACGTGACATAATCATCTTCTCATACTTTGTCACGCGTATATGTCGCGACGACGCGGCGACGCGGTGGTGGTTATCTCTCACTCGCTAGTTACCGCAACACGTTACACTCAGGATATACATATATCCTTATCGCGTATGCTTCACTCGCGACTCTCGCGAGCGAGGTCTACGATCGTTATCATAATAACTCACTTCGCGCCAGCTGCACAGAGCGCTAGCTAATCGGGTCACTCCTCACTTGTCTTTTATGCGCTCGCACGTTGCACGACAGATCTCCTGACTATGCACAGAAGACACACGATAAACACGTGTCGGTCGCGTATAGATGCACGGCGTAAGAACGTATCGTGAAAAGTGTCGAGGTGGTCTCGAGGTTGAAGGAGAGGACCCTTCCCTTCCACCGCGCCGGCCACGCCGCCGTTTTCTGACTCATGATTCTGACACGATAGCGTAACCGAAGTAGAGAGAAGAGAAGGACGAGCTGCTCGATTACGAATGCAACGCGCGCGGGAGGTACGACGTTCCTCTTCATCGATAGCTCCCTTTCCCGTGATCCCGCGACCGGTTATTGCATTTCCGGCCGAATACGCTTCGATAACGCCGAGATTGTACAGTGAGAATACAGTTTGATAAGAAGAAGAAGGAACGGTATATCGTTAAACGGTATCGTCAAAAATTTTGATGACGTGTCGAGAGGCAGGTATAGTGTATCTCTTTCGTCATAAAATTCAAACTCAAATTCCTTACTTCCCGAAATACTGCGTCCATTAAAGAATAAAAGAATTCGTTAGGAATCCAAAATGTCTCCAAAAACAACAGTAAATAATTAAAAGAGGTATTACTTTAATTATGATTTATATATTTATAGATTGAAATGTTTATTATGTTAGAGAAATAATAGCAATCAAATTGTGCTAAAGAAATATCTATGATGGTAATAATATATTAGAATAAAAATAATAAACTTCTATTACGTAAATGAGGTAGTGAGGGAGGGAGGGAGTGAGTGAGTGAGTGAGTGAGTGAGTGAGTGAGAGAGAGAGAAAGGGGAAAAGGGGGGAGGATGAGAGAGGATCACTAATAATAATAATCAATCTAGATAGAGGCTAGACGAGGCTTAAACGAGGCTTAGATTCATCGAGAACGGCTCGAGATCAGTTTTGTCCGTCTGTCGATTTCTCGCACGGATTTTATTGTATTTTTACTTTTGCAGGATCGGGAGAAAATTGCGAGGGTTAACGACGGTCTCGCAATTAGAAGAGGATCGATCTAGCGCGACGGCCACACGGGATTGAGGACTTTCTACTCCGTCTCCGTTATAGCGTAACGGTATATCGCGATACTCTGGTGTACTGTCGGCCACTGTACCGGCCTTACATATGTGTATGCATACGTACATCGATAGCGACAGGATGTCGGTAACCGCAAATGACAGCGACGACGAGGACGACGACAGTGAGACGCGATTTCTAACGCGAAGTGCAAACAGTAAAGCACGTATAATATGGCATTCCAACACGTCTCCCGAGAAACGCCTAACGAAAGCACGTACCTGCTTGATTTCCCTCTACGGCTGCAATATTGTTACTTATGTATATACAGGAAGTCTTAAAATAGATCTTATTGCCGAAAAGAAGATATAATATAAAAAAATAAAATCAAAATTCAAATTTTCGCATGAAGCGTCATACTTTTAAGAAAAGTGACCTTAAAAATCAAAGAATAACACTTATATACGCTTAAGTTTGATGGCTATTACATATAAATAAAAAAAATACATTTTCTCTTTCTCTCTCTCTCTCTCTCAATTTAATAGAACAATATAAAATAATAAACAATATAAATTACTAGAAAGATTTTATCTATGAAATATCAAGATCATTTTTATTTCTTCAATGTTGTGTCTATTTATAGGGAAACGTGCTTATTTGGATCCTGATAAAGCAATAATATCAGATCCCGACAACTAAATCAGGCAAACCTTATATGATCCTCACTTGGATCCTACCTTAATTTCTAGTCGGGATAATGCAAAGTCTACAGAAATTATTCAAGTTTAAAAAAGTATCAGTATATATTATCTATTAATTATCAGTTATTTTTCGCAAAAAAGAATCTCTGACGAAGAAATAGTAGTAGCTGTACATTCTAATGTGGAATAACTTCAAATAATTATATTTATATTTGGAAACTTGAGTACAATGTATTTTATAAGTTATATGATTGTTTTCTTCATTATAACGGTATATTTGTTTTAAAACTGATCTTGAATCTTTCTTTTCTTTCCTTCTATTTCCTTTCAGATGCATTACAATACAAGTATAAAAAACTAACTTCTTTTTAAAAAAAAAAATAGAAAAATCAATATTTGGCAAGAATTCGCGAGTGCTTATCATTTTCCATAAATCGCAAACATGTTTCGTAAAAATGTGATAAAACGACGGTTGGGATATGCAACACGGCATTTTCGGATTGACACCTTCGTGCAAAAATTTATCGCACTTACCCGAGGATCATAAAATAATTTATCGATGATCGAAAAAAATGTCAGTTGCACCAGGCGAGTAAATTTCATACTAAATCGCACTATAATAACAAATATAATAACTTCGTTATATATTATCTGCTTAATTATATTAATTATACATATATGTATAGATATATTATGTGCTTAATTATATTATTTTTATAATTATCTCATTTTATTATCTCAATAAAATATTTAGATTAGGTACACACAATAGTTAATTTGTTTCAATAAAAAAAATCTAATAGTCTTATTTTCGTTTATTATAATATTGTACTGAAAATATTTTTCATCTCATCGTTTCTATCTTATTTCTATATTGTACCACAACTCGATTTCTCGTTATTTGACTGGAATTTCCTTTAGCATCGTTGGAATGTGAAAATTTATGCCATTCACGCTGAGAATACGTGATTTCATCGAATGAGTCATTAGCGGATATTCGGAATGTCGGTCTTCGTTAATGACTATTCGTTCTATCATCAAATTATGATACTATCGGATATCGGTTATTCAATCAATCCAGTATTAAGATAGTCTTTAATTACTATTGCATTAAAGAGCATTTAATTTTTATCGTGACAATTTAAACTATTTTAAAAATTTTAATTCTATTTAAAATCAATTTTTGAATATACTTGCCTTAACTTAATAAAATCATGCGAAACGGGTATATCACTAATTTAATTATATTTAAATTACGTTTGTCGTTTCTTGTCTGACACATCACGAACGGTGACACGGATTTGCGGGAGTTAGTGAATCAGTAAACGAGTGAGTCATCCGTAAGTTATTAGTAAGCTCGATGGGAATCGTTATTCGTCATAGTTCTTCCGATAGTTCGATAAGTATGACTTCTGTATTTAAATATTTATATCCGTAATCTTATATCTAATGAAATATTCTAGCATCTAATATATATATATTATTTACAAATGTTAATCGTATGTGGACAGTAAAAGGTGTAAACATGCATCAGGATTTACCTTATTTAAGATTCAATTACTAAAATATTTTAAAATAAAAATAAGAGAAACAAAAAGAGAAACCGTGCTTGATGAAACTCTTATCTAGAAAAAAAATCACAAAATTTGAGAAAATTGTAAATAAAACACATTAATTGAAAAGCCGCTGATGCACACAGTTCGAGAGGAACGCAACGAGAGACAGCGCTTGTTAGAATGGTCGGCGCTTCGAAGCTTATTGTTCACCACTAGAACACTTCGCTTATCGCGGTATCGCGCGTCCCAGAAGCGCTCCCGATCTCCGTATGCACTTTGGTGACACAGTTCGGCACAATAGCGCGCGCATTAATCGCATAACTGGCGGCGTGGTTGCGCAACCGTCCTTCCCACATTGTTACCCGCGAATGCACGTAAGCACGCACGAACGCAAACGCGCGTTATACGATGCCTCCTGGATCGGGAGATGCGATCGCTCTGACATAACGATCTGTCGTCTTGCCGATCTGCGCCGCAACTTCGTTGCCGCCGCGCCACGCTAATGATTTACGCTCGCGCGCGAGAATTATGACGTTTCGTCGATCATATTACGTAAATTTGCGACGTCACGCGATTGATATGTCGTTGCAATACTGTCATTGTGTCTCGCGATAATTCTGCACCGCGAAATCCACCACAGAGAATTTCTATCCGTCAAAGAGAAATTGAGTAGTAGCTCGGTCTATACGCTTATATGCATTTATTATATAAGTGTATTCGTCATAATTGCAATTTCTGATACAAAAAGAAGATTAAAAGAATTGCTGATAAAATGGTAAATAATTAGTAATACGTGGAAAAATATAAACATCATTGATTATAAAATAAACTGTAATTTACTTCCAAATTCCTCAAAATACACTATAGTAAGCTTACGGGGAGTGATTTCATTCATATCGATTAGTTTACTCAACTTTAGATTTTGTATAAAGTTAGTACTATCGCCATGATTTCAATTTGTCCATCAATCTACTGTCCATCGCTGCTTAACAATCTCGTTTTCAACAACGGCGATATGCGCCTGAGAGATTCATCATCTTCGGGTAAACTTCAGCGACACTCACGTCCCGTTCAAGCTGAGTCCCCGCAAGATTGACAAATCTGGACTTAGAGTTTACCGAGTCGATTAATTCGCCAACATACCGAGTCGCCGCCAGCAACTAACAACAGATATTATTCAACGGCTGGTAACTGGATCACCGAGCATTCGCCAAATCTCCACAACTGTTATGTCCCGCGAGTTTCGAGACCGGCGAAGGATACATACACAGTACGTATGGGGCAAACAGGATAGGCCCGCCGACTGTCGCTTCCAACGGACACCGAAAACGTTGCAAACTTGCCTAATGAACGTACAAGCTTCGTCGGCCAAGAGAGCGACTTGAGAAGTGTTGGCTTAACACGCGCTTTCGGGTGGAATCCGTCGCCAGATTTCACCAACTTGGCTTCGGTCTCTCGGCAGTGTCCTCAAAAGGATCTTTTGAGCACCGTAACAAACTCGCCTAACGCGATTCCGCGCTCGCCTGGACGTGCTGTAATTTCTCTCGCGTGTTGAGAGGATGTGTGCTAGCACTGGATATTAGGGACTTTGCGTGACAGCGCGCACTTTAGACGCGGTAAACGCTGATTGCGATGAAAAGCGCGTGAACGGTAGGACGGCATTTAAATGGAACGTAAGATACAACTGAAAAGAAATATTTTCGACCAGTCTACGTGATAACAGAATAATCTTACCGTGCCTTATCAATTTGGAATTAGATGATAAAAACGAAAGATTCATCCCTACTCCCTACGAATAGTTACAAAGATCTTTAACATGTGAAATGAAATTTCTTCGCGGCAAAACTCTCATCTCGCAAATATTAAATGGTAATAAATGATATTCATGATCATCCTCGAATTCTTATATGTTATTCTACGGATCGAAATTCACAGATCGTGCATTAAAGCGAGAACGTAATTCGGCTTTTCGACGAAAATTATTTTCACCATTTTTTGGATATATAAAGAAGTCTCCTAAAATATTTAGAAAAATATTTCTCAGATTCGATAGTGAGCGTGAGAAGTTAATTTATCATATTTATTTTATTTAACTTTTGGATTAAACAGCTCCGTTCACATTCCAAAAAATATCAGTGAAAAGTTTACTTAATGGTAACCGTGTAATGATAGCAGTAAAAAGGAGATAAGATTGAAAGCATCCACGTGGACGAAAAAACGAGTAAAATCTTCACCCTGACCTTAAATTACGGAAGGGAAGTCGAGTATGAGTTCATTTCATATGTCTTCGAGGTAAGATCAGTGGATCGAGCGGTCAATATAAAAAATGATTCGGATGTCGTAACGATTTGACCTTAAAACCATTAATCACGTTTTTTAAAGGGACCTCAAAGAGCAAAGGCCAGATTATCTCGCTCCAATTTCGGGGCACGACAGCGAGACGCTTTTGATTAATTCGCAATGTCCACACTTCGCGACGAAAGGACAGCCATTAATAACGCCGACCACTTGTTTTCTCTCGAAGCTTTTGCGGCGTGTGTGGGCGCAACGTACTGCGCCCGCGTCTACTATGTGTGCACGCGCGCGTACGTGTTCCTGGAAAAAGGATAGTGGACTTCCGGATTAGTCGTACGCCTCGTCGGAAGATTTAATTACGAGCTTTCCGCGAAACTGACGGGTCTCTCATCCAACCAGAGAAGAGGCGCAAAAAGAACATGTCGAAACGATATGACAGAATACCAGTTCTAGCTGAATGATGCGGGAAGACGTTATATGCGGTACGGAAAGATAAATGAACTAATTTTTGTTTTCGCGAAGCTTGGATAACGCGGAGAAATTTGAGAGAGCTATATGAAAGTAGAGGACTATAATAAATAACAAATTGGAAATCTAAAATTTGGAGAGAGATTTGAATAACAATATACTCCACATATATAATTGCCATCATATTGCATGATTGTTAATTATGACCGATTTATCAATATTGCATTGTGCTTATTTATTTGTTTCTGCGTATTAATCTTGTAATCCTCTAGTTTTATATACCGAATCATACAAATTGATAATAACCATTCCTCTCTCATTAGCATTCTCGAATTAATATATCTATAATTCAAATAATAATTTACTTTAATGAGTTAGTTTGTATGTATAATCATTGATCCCTCGACCTTCTAGTGCGCTTTAAATGTCGCAATGTTGTATGTTCCTATAATCTTTTTATTGGAAATACAATTTTACATATACATTTTTAAGGATATTGATTTATAAAAACAATTTATTTTGCATTCGACAGACTATGTTATATAAAATACTACAAAACAAATACTACTAAACTAAAAGTATTCTTAAATTTTATTATACATATATATTGTTTAAATAAAAAATAAAAAATTCAATTATGTCAGATATTGGTAGTTTTTAATGTAAAAAAAAAGTTATTACGTACATCGTGTAAGGAAAATGATTCGTGGTAAGGCTCTCTTTTAAATGAAATTTCCAAGATAAACGCAAAATAAATTGGAGTTTCCTGTTGCTCCATCAGGGAATTTCGGCGATAGCAAAGGGAGGGACGGAAGCGGCGAGTGTCGAAGAAGGGTTGCGGAACAGCTTTCGGGTTCGTGCAAGTTTAATTGGTTTCCGGAATCCATTTTGCCTGGTTTTTAGCCGCGCGATGACACGTTTCATTTTACTTCTGAACCCTGCCCGTCCTTATCTCCGCTCTATCTTCGCTTGATATCGAGTTTTACGAGCGACTTTGCTGCAGGCGACGGACGTCGAATCCGTTCGCGCAACTTCCGCGAAGAGTGTCTTACGCATCACGTTAAAATTAAGGCAGAAAATTTTCGCACGACAGCGCGAATTTGAACTGGAAATTTTTCAATCCCGCAGCTTTCGCCGTGGAAGAATCTGCAAAAAGAATTTTCTCGCGAAATGTTGTTTGACCTCCCGTCTCGTCGATATCGTTCCTGTAGCTAGGAGAAACGCGTCGCTTTTCCATTTTCACGTTTCCGACATAACTTCCAGCTGGTTAATGAAATATCCGGGATACTCAACGCCAATGATAACCCGCCAGCTCTGACTGCTAGTAA